GAGTGAATTGGAATCCTCAGGGGAGGCTTTACAGAGGGATTTAAGCAAGAGCTTGAAGGAGTAGAATTTAGACCAGCAAAGAGGAAAAGAGGTGGGCCATCTAGGATCAAAGGACTATACACAAACAAAGGTTTGAAGGTGGGGTTGGGGAGAACCAGCAGGTTGGGAGAACCTGCTGACTTTGTACATCATAAAGGGTAGGAGGAACTTTTTTTTTCTTTAACCAAAAGAAAGCTGGGTAGTGAAGAGAGTCCTGGCCATGGTGTCAGAAAATCTGGGTTCAGTACTGCTATCAACTAGCAGTTTATAGTGGGGCCTGCTGGTTAGCTGAGCCTGGTTTCCAGTAGGTACTTCTATTTACCTTGCTATTGGGAGGACCACGTAAGCTCTTGGGTTGGAAGTGCTCTGCAAATGGTCTGGGTCCCATTTCCAAAGGCAGCTTTGGTGAGTTCCAAGACCCCACTCTCTCCTAGCCCCCTAACCCCCGTCCCCCGCTCTGGGAATCCTCTTTCTCAGTCCGTCACCAGGTCTCTTTCCTCTTTAAGTCTCCTGACCGGCTAGAGGGGGCACCATTCCAGGTTTTGGACTTGGCACCCTTCTCACTTTGTTACCCGCTCTGTTTTGGTGCATCATCCACCACCCCCTACCACCTGGCGCCCACGCTCACCAATCCATGCTCGGGCCAGACCCCTTCCCCAGCGCGATTCACGTGTCCACCCAATTAGTCATCCATCCTGCCTGGATCTCCCCCAAACCCCTCCAATCCACACCCGGAACTGAATTTCTCGTCCTCCCCGCTGGCCTCTTCCTCTTCCCTGGTCTTGGGCAATCACACCGCCAAGTCAAGGCTCTTAGGCCATTCTTTCCTGCCCCGCCCTCACAGAGGGGCTCGGAGGGGAGCCGAGCGCCTTCCGCCCCGGGGGCCTCCTCCCACCACCCTTGCCCAAGACTCGATCTCGTCAATTCTTGCGGGAATCACGCCACCAACTTCTCAGTCGGTACGACCTCGTTTTGTTCACGCTTCCTGCAGGATGAACATTCTGAAACACAAATATAGTAATATGTCTGCTCTGCTTAAAAGTATTCAGAGGCCCCTTAAATACTGGGGAATGAAGTTCGAACTCTTGGACACGATGATCAATATCTGAATACCTCCTTTTATTCTGGCCCACCTGCCCCGTCCCCTCGGCTGCAGTCCTACCGAACTGCCGGCGGCTTTCACTCTGCACCCTGCTCTTTCAAATCTCTGTTTGAACGCACTGTTCCCCCGGTCAGAAGTGCCCTTCCCCACCATCCTTCTCTGCCTTACTAACCCTTCTTACCCATGATTACTCAGTTTAGCGGTTCCGTTTTGAAGGCCCCGCTCCTATGGGCACTCTTGCCAGCTGTGCAGGTCTCTGTATCACAGCTCTCATTACTCCAGAGACCCAAGGCCAGTGTTGTAACTTCTTCTTTAGCTGTCTCTCTTGCTACATGGTGAGTTCTTGAGAGGAGTAATGGTGTCTTCGTTTCTTATTTTGATGTTCTGATCACCTTTTCTTCCAATCTCATCCTTTCTACATATTTTATGTATTTATTTTTTTGAATAGGCAACACATTCATCTAAAAATTCCAAAGCTACAAAAAAACTATATAATGAAAAGTTTCCCTCCAACCCCTGTCCCCACCCCAGCTGCCCAGTCCCCTTCCCCAGAGGCAATCAATATTAGCAGTTTCTGGTGAATACTTCCAGAGATACAAATACTTCCACAGATGAAAACATACCTATGGTGCCCCTTTTATACCAAAATGGTGTCATGTTCTACAGGCTGTGCTGTACCTTGTTTCCACTTATGTACTGTATCCACCAGATCATTTCAGTACCTAAGGAGCTTCCTTATTCTTTATTTACAGTTTTCAATTTTCCATTGTGGTTGTATCCTAAGTTAACACATAAACATTAGGTTATTTCCAGTCTTTTGCAAATACAGATAATACTGCAACGACTATCTTCACACAAATGTCACTTCACACATGTAGAAGTTGGACCTTAGAATGAATTCCTAGAAGTGGACTTGCCAGATCAAAGCGTGTGTGCATTTGTGAGTTTCGCCACGTCATATTGCCCTTCATGGAGTTTAGATACCATCTGACTTATCTTTGTATCCCTAGCCACTATTAGAGAGTCTAGAACTCTCTAATCACAACATGGCAGCTTTGTAATGCTGTGTTGCTGTAATAGTTGTGTAACTATTGACACTCTTCTTCATTAGCTTGGTTATAAAATAAGGTCATACTAACTTTTATGTTCTTTTTTAAAAAAATTTTTTTAACGTTTATTTATTTTTTGAGACA